ACTGCACCACTGAAGTAATGTCTGCTATATATTTTTTATTGTGCAGAAAGTGATCCAGCTGCAGTTTACTCAGCAGTGCGAACAGAGGACGTCAGTTATGGTCAAATTATCATCAGAGACAAGAGAAAAAAATCAAAGAGAAGAGGTAAACTGCTCTTCTTTGTCTCCATCATGGTTCAGAACTACAAAAACAGTGCAACGGGTGTTCAGAGCAAAGAAGAAAGACCTGATAGAGGTTTTATAGCATTTCACAGGGGCAATATTTGTTGTAAATACTAGCATGCTGTTTGATTATCTGTGGTGGATTCTGTTAGCAGTTTGCTTGCATGTCGCAGCATAGTTGGAGTTCCTCAAGTGTGTAACTCCAGTGAGGGTTCAAGGAAGAATTAAATCTAAATATAGGGCAGAAGTTACAAAGTGCTTAAAGGGAAAACAAATGAGATCCCACCACCATAAACGCAGTAAGCAATTTTCACTGGAATACTAAATAAGCTGCAAGTTTTTTTTTTCTATGGTGGTATGAGAACCTCAGAAACAACTCCTGTATTACATAGATGCCCCATGCACACTTATGAGATGCATCATTTCAGCTCCTCGACAGTTTGATGATTGGCTCAGACCATTCATCCATCTGCTTAATCAGTTCAGGGTTGTGGGAGCCCATAGCAAGGCTAACACAGTGAGACAAGGTCACATTCACATGTACTGCCAAGGAACTGGAGCTAAGCTAGGGTATGTGTTTAGGTAGTTGAAGGCCAAATGCCAAAAGCTAAGCAACGGATAAGGTTAAGGTAACTTTCCTCATTCTGAATTCTCTGAGTATTAAACCTGTTAGATGGCTCCACAATGACTAACAGAAACAGGTAACTTAAAGCTGAAATTAAGCTCCAGAAACTTCCAGAGCTGCTCAGTGATGTTCGCAGGGAGTTAGAAGATGTTTATGAAGCAAAAGAGACAAAATAGATTATCTGTAGCTCTCAATGTAAGTCGGATTTTAAGTGGACATTAAAATTGTTTCAATGATGGACAAACGCCATCATATTTTACGTTCTGTTTTTTTTAGACCAGAATATAACATGTTGATAACAACAAAAAATGTGGTTTGAAATGTGTTATCAGCAACTGTTCTGAACTAAACAGTAGTTTTGTTTGTTTTAAACTTGTGTAAAACCACAAACGGCTATTTCCTCTTTTTGTTTCCATGAAACTGACATGTGAACACACTGTGTCGATGATAGTGTGCATATAGTGTGACAAAGTGTGAGTCTGGTTTATATTTTGTGGTAAAATGTGTATTTCGTCTTCTTCTGGTGTTAAATACTAATGACCAAAAATAATGTGGGTGGGTGTTAGTCTGAAACAGGAAAGATGACCACAGAGCTTCTGAAAGCCGCTGACAGTTTCTGTGAAAGGTTTTAATAGACCTACCTGGGAAATGATAACTCTTCTTTTAACGTACATCCTGTGCACTAGGAGTATTTTTTATAAGCTGTGGTATCTGCAGTGACGTCCTCTGTGTGTGTTTAACTCTGCAGAGTGTGATCCAGCTGTAATCTACTCAGCAGTGACAAATGAAGATACCAGTTATGGACAAATCACCATCAGACCAAACAGGCCCAGAGGTAAAGCTGCTCTTTATTCACTAAGAAAGAAAATTAGTTTGTTGCCTGAAAGGGAAGCCCTCCTTTTTGAAAACATGAGCCAAGACAACACGAGGAACCTCAGGTTCAAAGAGGCAAATCGAAAGTCTGGAAGTTACACCAGTGGTGGGAAAACTATGCACAACCTTTACTCAAATAAAAGTTTCAATAATAAACTGTTATTGTCCTCCACTATCCTCCGTCTGCATGGATGTCTGTCAGTCTTTGTCACTATTTCAATGATATGTCAGCATATCTAAATGCATGTTCAATTGTCCAGGTAATAAATGCCAAATGATTGTCAATGAAACCTATACTGTCAGAATAGAACTGACAGAGATGAAGATTGCCAGATTAAGGAGCGGCAGTAAAACAGGTGA